AACCTTTTGTTAAACCAAAATACCCTTTATTTTTTGTTACCAATTGAAAAATCACATTTTCCATTAAAAATACCAACTTCCAAATGCGAAGACATTTTTGGAAAAAACAAGGCAATCAAATGCACAAATGGATCACACAAAGTAATCCTACGGCCGTAATATACACCGCTCTAGATTCTCAGGATTTCATAAGACTCGTGGTCTTAGATCAAGGGAACGTTTTGAACGGATAAGGTCTAGGTATTCTAACAAAAGTAACAACACAGCGGAATTTACGATGCAACAAGATAAGTATATCCAATCAAACAAAATTTCACAGCAATTTTAATATAAAGCACAATACGCTAATTTATCCAAAAAAAGTATTCAATCACAAAAGAGCAAGTAATCCTAATTTCTAGCACAAGCAATGGTTGCCAAGCAATGATAACCTTTAATCCTAACGATCACCCCAGACGATGATCTGCTAATGCTGAAATTTAAACTGAGATAAGTCAATATACCAGAGCGGACCTATCTGAATCCGTAAGTTACAAAAGATGCAAATTTACTGCTTTAGAGTCGCAATTTTGGCCTAAAGTAATTCAGTAAATATGTGGCAATTTTGATCGTTGATCCACTAAGGGTAAAATCGTCCAACTTTTTCTGTGTAACCTGAAACAGAAAACTTCCAACACGAAAAATATTAGAAATAATATGAGGAACAAACTACCTGAAGACAACTTCCCCAGAATCGACTCCACGCACCCTCACGCGCCACACATCCAGCACTACCTCCACCTGCACGTCTCAACCCTGGTCTCCGTTTCACCAATGGACTTCTGGATTGACGAAAAATCACGTTTGCAGGTGCGGTTTTTTGGTGCAAAAACTGGGCAGTCCGATTTTTCTGTTTTCTGCCGATTTCTGGTTGGATTTTGGTCGAAAATTCCACCCCAACCCCGCTCTGATACCAAATGTTGAAGAATCGACCTCTAATGGTGGATTTTCCGAGCCCAGTTTCACCAATCTCAACCTTATTAAACACACCCAAGTAGGACTCCAATCCAAACAACGATTCTTACTTCGGATGCTCAACTCAATGTGTCCACAAAGAACGTGGCTGCAATGAACAACCAAGAATAGAGGAAGACATGTTCAATTTCAAGACTCGAGAGAAAACAAGACAGAAGTCGACTGCCTCTTTCTTCAATTGCACACCCACACGACTTATTCAACAATGAGGCCAATATATAGTTTTATGGTGTAATAATAGTGGGTTAATATAGTGGGCTCATGGACCAACTAATGGTTAAAGGGGCTAGAACACAAAAGTGAGTCATTCAAGAAGTAAATGGGCCGTGAACAACATTAACTCTATTAAGTTGTTTCAAACGACCCTCAAGTTATTTTTCGGATTGAGCCAATTAATCGAATGTGTTAATAAATATTTCAATCATCGGCCGAAGCCTATGAAATCTAATCCTACTATCCGTCACTATTTAATATCATCGTCCGGGATTATTGGATATAAAAAAACCCAACACATTTTTTTCTTTCTCAAAAATAAATAAAAAGTCTTTTTCTCCCGGTTTCAATTTTTAGGATTATACGTCTACCACATATAGGAGAATTTATGGCAATGGAGAATTAATTTAAGAAGAAATTGTGGACGAAGCCACCATGGAATTTCTGCTAGAAAATTTCAAATTTTTTTCGTTTTCTGTCATAGATTTGAAACTGCTTTCCTTTTCTTTTCTTTTTTATAATTAAATTGATAAGTCTAAAAGACGTATATACAAAGGGCTTGCGACAGACTTTACACGATTAAAGGAGACCATAAAATAATACAGATTGATAACTATACAAACTATAGAAATCCCCATATCATGATAACTATAATTACAAAGTTTACATCCAAATATAATTAATTTTGACTTAATTTATTAAAGCATGTTTAATGCATTCAGTGGATTACAATCTATGTTGCATGTAAGTTGAAAGACTTCCATAGTATGTAACATGATACCTAATGAATAAGTACCCAAGTCAAAATGTGGTCTCTAGTTGGTTTTATCATAACTCATTAATGTTGTTTAGGCGTCTTTTTTTTTTTTTTTAAATAAAAATCACATCTAAATCTGCAAAATAATTTTAAATCCTAACCAAACCTTTGAATCTAGATGAAGCTCTTAACAATATCTACTTTATCACATCAGCTAGATAGAGTCTATGTTAGATTATACTGGTTTAGATAAAATCTCTATTACATTGCATTGGATCGGAAATTTAATGTGCCTTGCTATCACAAATATGAACTGACCATTATTAAATTACCTTCTTGGAATTATCTACTCCCTTCGTCCCAATTATATAGGTTGAGTTTCCTTTTTCTCGTCTCAAATGTATAAGCATGTTTCCTAATTTAAATTTTTTTGTTTTGTTCCTTTACCAATATACACTTATTCAATTTCTCTCATTTAATATGTCAATTTATTGAAATTATCTAAATACACACATTTCTCACTTCTTAGAAACATGGAACGACTCTAATTTATTCTCATTCAAATTAAATCATTCAAATTCTTTACTAATTTTAACAATAATTTACTACTATATACTAAAAATTAAATAGGGGCAAACTAGGAAAGGTCTTGATTAAAATTATTTTTCCAATGACAAAAGGAGATTTTTTTAATGCGTGTGAAAAATGAATCTATATAATTGGGACGGAGGGAGTACATACATACACATATTTCTCACTTCTTCTTGGAAACCTAGACAAAAATACATTTAACGACCATTATTTACGACAACTGTTTATAATTAAATAAAGGTAAACTAGGAAAATTCTTTACAAAAACTTTGTTTCGATGACATTAAATAAAATTTCTTAATCTGTTTGATAAACAAAATTAGTCTATATAAATGAGACGGAAAGGAGTAATTTTTTTTTATCAATGTGAAAATGGAAGCAGACATCGATATGAAACATACAGAGTACAAATTATAATTTTTCTTATTCCTTTTTATTTTTTTCCACCTTCTTGACTTATATGGAAACATAAAAATAAAATAAAACTGTGCAGTTACAATTAATTTGGATTAAAACATTGGTTTTAATCGACAAGAAATCTGTTGAGACCACAGACTGAAAAAAATCAAGGGTTTCCCACGATATTATACACCTTTTTGGTGGCAGAAAATACACGCCATTCATATAGCAAGAGAATTGAATTATTTGGACTGATTATTATAGCTGATTAGGCCAACTTGAACATTCTTAATTAAACGATTAGTCTCCCCGGGACCCACTGACAAAAGAAATTAAAGGAAAATGTCGGAACTCGATTGTAATTGTGCATAGAAAATGATGCCCCCTTCAGCCTTTCTTTCAATTATTGTCCCCTTCCCTACAATAAATCCATTAGTAGTTTATTTGAAAGAAAGAATGGAAACTATGCTCCATATAAATCTTGAGTGTTATACGTATTACCAAAAGTTTCAAGCCGTTTTTGTTTTTTAAGTTGTTTCAAAGTTATCAGTATTTGCGAATACAAGAATCATAATATATTAATTTGGTTGCTTGCTATTGACTAGCTTAAACAATATTGACTCTGATAGTTTTTTGAAAGTTAAACGCCCATACCATGCAATTAGAAAATCAAGTAAAAGGATTTCCACTTGCAATTGAAAATCTCGTTTGTTGAAAGATCTCGATCTTTATTCATTTTATTGTTTGAATGGGTAAGGTCTCGATCTTTATTCATTTTATTGTTTAAATGGGTTACTATTTAATAAAGTATGTCACATTTTCACATATTGGCATTTCAAAAACTTTAGTTGAAAAATGAAATTTATTAATTAAATATATTTTGATATTTAATATGAGAACGCTAACGTGAGAAGGAATCTATTTTACAAATTCCAATAAACTATCTTTACTAAATGTTGAACTCCAACTTTGAGGGCCCAACCGTCCCGCTCTGGAGTATCGTGAGGTAGGTAAATTGTCGGATGTGCTCCAACAAGTCAAGAAAAAAGTTTTTTTCCGTACACTGGTGCCCACAAAAAGTCCAATTTCATATTTCAGGAATCGAACCTTCACACTGCGGCTGTCAGCAAGGCCGAAATTACCTAACTTCTATCCTTTGCACCACTGGGTTATGCCCCGAGGGATAATAAACTATCTTCACTAAAGTAGTGCCAAACTGCACTTTTAATTGGATTGTCTGCCAATTTTTATTTTTTCCGTAGTTCAGGGGATTTAGCTCCTTTTTTGTGGTCACTTTTTTGTTTTTTAATTGTCTTAAACAGTGATATTTTGGATATTGTATGGTTAAAAAGTGAAAAAAGTTTTGATTTTAAGTGTGCAATATTTTATTGAGTGAATGTAATTGAAAATAAGTATATAAGAAAATGAGTTTTGAAAGAATAGGAGACAAACTAAGACTTAATTCAATGAGGAGTAAATTTTGCTGTAAAAAAAAAAAATAATAATAAAAATGGCTACAAATGTGAAATGTGACTTTTGACAAAATGTATTTGAAGTCTAATGAGTGTCCATGTGAATTAAGCCTGCAACTTGCTACTTATAAAGTGTTTCATGGAATTTTTTTTTTTTTTTTTTTTTTTTTTTTTGATAACCCAGGTGTCCCAGCTTAGCCGGACTAAATCCTGGACCTCTAGCCCCCGGCCCCTCAGTAAGAAAATGAGTTTTGAAAGAATAGGAGACAAACTAAGACTTAATTCAATGAGGAGTAAATTTTGCTGTAAAAAAAAATAATAATAAAAAAATGGCTACAAATGTGAAATGTGACTTTTGACAAAATGTATTTGGAAGTCTAATGAGTGTCCATGTGAATTAAGCCTGCAACTTGCTACTTATAAAGTGTTTCATGGATTTAACATAATAACATGTCGTAGGTGGTAAAGAAGAGAGGAATTATAGATTGACTTGAGTAGACCGATAAATGAGCCTAAAGATAAGATCAAATTCATCCAAAGTTAAATAAAAAAATAATTTCTCCCAGTTTCAGTTTTTAGGATTATACATCTACCATATATAGGCGAATTTATGGTAACGAAGAATTAATTTGAGAAGAAATGGCGGACAAATCTGTCGTGGGACGGAGTGAGTAATTTTTTTTTTAAATAATATAAAATAAAAATTTTCAATCTGTCCAAAAATCAAAATCAACCTATATAAATGAGACAGAGTGAGTAATTTTTTTTTTTTAATCCATGTTGAAATGGAATCAAACATCTTTATGAGACATAGAGGGTACAAATTATATTTTTTCTTATTCCTCATTTTTTTTTTCATCTTTTTGATTTATATGGAAACATCTCTTTTTAAGTGTGTCTGTGTATATAGTTACAAATAATTTGGATTGAAACATTGGTTTTGAACAAACTTAATTACATGAATAGACAGTAAATTTGATCGACAAGAAACAAATTTGAAATAGCCCATAAACTATCTTCATTAGTTACTGTTTGGGTGACAAAATGCACCTCTAATTGGATTGGTAGCAAGTTTCCATTTCGTCCCTCATTCATGAGATGTAGGGGTTGCTTGATTCTCATTTTTATTTTTAAAAATTCATTTTTTCAAAAATATTTTTCGATCACATATTTTTTAATAAAATAATATTATATATTTATTGAAACTTTTTTCTTAATTTTTAACCACACATTTTTCAAAAATTATTATTCAAAAATGCATTTATTCTCTCAAAATGGACTCAAACATAAATTTAGTTAAATGAGTGGTTAAATTTGCTGTAAAGAAAAAGTGCTACAGTAACTCATGTGAACCGTGACATTCCCAAACATGTTTGGGAGTCAACGAGTCTCCGTTTGGTAGGTGGAAAATAAAGAAGAAAGGGATTATAGAATGACTCAGGTAGACCTATAAATAAACCTAAAGTTAAGATCAAATTCATCCAAAGTTACATGAAAAAAATTTCTCCCAGTTTCAGTTTTTAGTATTATACATCTACCATCTACCATATATAGGAGGAGAATTAATTTAAGAAGAAATGGCAGACGAAACTGCGGTGGGATTTCTGCTAGAAAACTTGAAGCAGCTACTTCTTTACAATGCACATCTGATTCTTAATGTGAAGAGCGATGTCGAATCTCTGCACAACGATCTGCAATTGTTCAAAGCCTTTCTCAAAGATATGGCAAAAAGGGACAACAACCATGAAGTCCTAAATGCGCTGGTGAAGCAAATCAGAGACATTGTGTACGAAGCAGAAGACTATGTGGACATTTATGTTTCTCATTCAGCTATGCAGAAGGCTCGAAGTGGCGTCGAAAGATTTGTCCATATATTCGATCATACGACGACGCTTCGAGGTACGGCAGAGAAGATTAAGGCTACGAGGACCAAGGTCAATGAAATATATCAAAACAAGATATTTGGGTTTGAAGCCCTGCTAGTTGCTGCTCCTCCGGTCAAAAAGAAAGAGGTAAATTGCCATTACTCTCATTAGTGATTTTGAATCTTTGCTAATTGATTATTTGCTTAGTTGATTGTGTTTACAATTTATCATTTCCGAGCATGTTTGGCTAATCATAATAAAAACTTGGTAATTTGTTTAGAAAAAAATAAACTGGGCATCTCGAGGGAATCTTGATATTACAAGTTAGGGGAGTATTTTTCAAAACAAGGAAACACAAGATCTGATGAATTCAATAAGAACGAAAATTAAGTTGACCAAACCTCCTTTGTTGTTTCAAGAATTAATTAATTTTAATGCTAATTTTAAAATTGTAATTTAGAGCCAGTTTGACATGCTTCTGCTTCTTTATCGAAAAGCTCTTCTTTTTGAGAAAAATATGTTTTATAGTAGCTTCTTTATATCATTAGTTGCCTAATAAATCTTTACTCTGTACATAATTCATTTTCATTTATATGTGTCATTAAAATATATGACTAATAAAGTATGTTTCATATTCCTCTTTGACATATTTACTTTAATTCACACAATAAAATATTATATATGTAAACTTAAAACATTTTTCTACTTTTTAACCACACATTCTAAAAAAAATACTATTCAAAATAATGTTTTAATATTTGAAAGATGTCAAATAGGGTCTTAATTAGTGAGTGATACTACCTATTCAATTATTTATATAGACCGAGTTTCATTTTCTCGTCCTAAAATATAGGCCTGTATCTTAATTTAGAATAGGTTTTTTGTTCCTTTACTAATATATCTTAATCAATTTTTCTCACTTAATATGCCAACTTCTTGAAATTATTCAAATACACACATTTCCCACTTTTTAGAAACATGAACAACTCTCGTTTCTTCTTCTTCTTCAAATTTAATCATTCAAATTTTTTACTAATTCCAACAATAATTTATTACTGCATATTGAATTTTAAATAGGGGTAAATTAGGAAAGATCTTGGTAAGAATTAATTTTCCAATGACATTAAATAAGATTTCTTAATCTGTGTGAAAAACGAAACAAGTCTATATAATTGGGATGAAGGGAGTATTAGTAGATATGCATTCCTAGTTAGGTGACAATGGGTCCCTTGCTTCATTTTTTAATCTATTAAAGTGCGTTACACCTATAATGGATAATGAATCGAATTCTATTGCCATCTTTACCACCTAACTAGTGATGCAACTCTACTAATGAAAAATAACATTATTCTTTCTGCTATTGATCCCAGCTTATCTTCAAACAATTGCACCACTAAATATCATTACATGATTTTGAATGAAGTGTGTACTACTAAACTAAGTTTACTACAATCTTGAATGCCATTTGGTCTCCATTTAATATCAATACTATTATAACATATATTAAAGGCTCCAATTTCACCTCAACTGATTATTGCTCACTATATTATAGCCTCCCATTGTGGAAGACAACGTGGTGGGCTTTGAAGATGAGGCCCAAACAGTAACCAAACTTCTCACTGAAGGGTCTGAGGAACTACAAGTTATATCAATAGTTGGCATGGCTGGTCTTGGTAAGACAACACTGGCTAAAATGATATATACTGATCGTGATGTTGAGTTTGAATTCTACAACCGCGCATGGGTTTTTGTTTCTCAAAAATATAGTAAAAAGGAAGTGCTTCAGGATATTTTACGACAACTTACTGCTAAGCCTAGTAAATCTGACATGAATGAAGTTGAATTAGTTGATGAACTTCATAAATTTTTGAAGGAAGCAAAATATTTAATTGTCATGGATGACGTGTGGACTAACGATGCTTGGGATGATTTAAAAACTGCGTTTCCTGTAAACAAGAAGAAGAGTAGAATTTTACTTACTACTCGTATTGAAAAAGTGGCTAAGTGTGCCAACCCCAACATTGAACCCCATAAGTTGCGATTTCTAACTGCTCAAGAAAGTAGGACTTTATTCCAAAGGAAGGCACTTGGAGCAATGGAGTGTCCTGACGAGTTGAAAGACCACGAACAGCGAATTGTTCAGAAATGTAAAGGACTACCGCTGACAATAGTTGTGATTGGAGGAATTTTGCTAGGAAAAGGTAAGGAAAGTGAATCGTGGAAAAAAGTTGCTGAAAGTGTGGAGGCATTTATTAACATGGATGAGCAGAAAAAAATGGACCATAGTATACAAATGAGTTTTGATCATTTACCTTATCACTTGAAACCATGTTTTCTCTACTTTGGGATATATCCTGAAGACTTCCAAATTCCAGTATGGAAACTGCTTCGCCTTTGGATCGCTGAAGGATTCATACAGCAAAGTGAAGGAATGAATATGAGTTTGGAGGATATTGCTGAAGAGTACTTGGAAGATTTCATCAGCAGGAATTTAGTCATGGTTGGGCAAAGGAGGTCAAATGGCAAAGTTAAAACGTGCCATATTCATGACATGCTACACTTGTTTTGCAAGACACGAGCTGCACAAGAAAGTTTTTTCGTCGAAATTACGCATCTTAATCAAGCTACTTATTCATCTCCCAACATTAACTCTGAAAAGTGTCGTCGCCTTTCCATCAATTCCAGAATTTCGAACTATCTCTTTTCAAAACCAAGTGGTCCACGTGTTCCACGTGTTCGGTCTTTTTTGTGTTTCTCCCATGAAGAAATAACCTTGCAAAATGAGCAAAATTCTTCAATCCCTCATGCATTTCAATTGCTCAGGGTGTTAGATGGTAAACCCATCCATTTCACTCGTTTTCCTCCTGACCTAACTCTACTTGTACATTTGAGGTATCTTGTTCTCTCCTGCACCATCAAAATACTTCCTGCATCCCTTTCCAGCCTTTGGAACATACAAACTCTTGTAGTTGAGACAGCATCACGCACCCTTGAAATCAAAGCAGATGTATGGAAGATGATTCAAATGAGGCATCTAAAAACAAACGCATCCACAACATTGAAAGGCCCTCTCGCTAAATCAAGAAAAAGTAAAGAAGATTCTTTGAACTTCAAAACACTTTCTACAATATCACCTGAAAGTTGTACAGAAGGACTCAAGTGCCTTCGTCTTAATCACTGCAGTAAGCTTGTTGAAGTCCCATTTGAACTGGCTAATGTTCCAAGCTTCCAGATATTGGACTTGAACTGTACCAGCAGATCAGCAGCTAAATCTGCCAAGAAAATTTCGGAGCATTAAAAGCAAATTGGTGGTAGTGGATTTAAGCTTTCGATTTACCCTTCAGATCATGATCAATGATCTCCATTTGCTCGAAGCTCATAAATGCTACTTCACAGGTAATATATTTTAAACTTTGTTCTTTTCAATTGATATATCTATTCCTACTTAAAACTTAAGCACCAAGAAAAGATTGTTTTTTCCCCTGTGCCCTTTCTATTTCTTAACTCTGTGTGGATATATGCTCTATCTGCTAATCCATGATTTGAATCAGAAAAATCTGAAAGATATGAAGTGGAAGTCCAAGTAAACATGTTTGCTACTATCTTACATATTACTAACGAATTATGAAAATTATTTCTAGCGTAATGGTGTAAAAATTCAATGATATGATCAACTCATATTTTTGCAGGCTGATAATCAGATGAACAGTGATGTCATGAGTGTTGAATAAAGGAAGTTTAGATGCATGGAGCCAATGTTTCTCTTCCCTGTGTTTTTCCATTACGTTCAATAAAAAATTGCACTTTATTGTATGTTGAACTTCAAAATATTGGTAGTTTCTTTTTACTCAGTGTGTTGTATTGCTGTAATCATTTTACCTTGCTTTAGCTTTTGACTATGGAATTACTGCTGCTTTCATTTTACCTACTTATAATTTTTTTTCTTGACAAAGTGGCAAATAGAAAACTGCATGGTCTTGCGCTCTTACTTTATTGCACCTAATGTAATTTGCCTTAGCTTGATGAGTATGGTCATTGTACTTTGAGCAGGTTTTGCTAAGTAAATTAAACTTACTTTTATGTAATATTTCATTCACGTACATATATATTTGGAACCTAATAGGAGAGGCTTATTCTCTTAGAGCGACCCGTTGTAATTTTTTCAGGATTTCGAAGATCGGAAGCCAATGGAAGGAGAGACTTGTAAGTTTTGGGTAGAATTATGAGTGAGTTATAGAAATTTCAACCAAAAATTGAGATCTATTGTAGTTTGCTATAGTTGCAATATAACTCCAAATCCTTCATTGTCTTTAAATTGTGGTTGGGTTCTTCCATCGTATCCATAATTGTGTTAAATACATTGATAAATATATTCCTTCTAATGTGCATTACATCTAAATTAAATGCCACAAAGCATATCCAAGAATGTGTTTAATCAATTTATTTTTTCTTACAAGCTTTATCGGTTATAATTTTGGGAAGTTTCTTATAGTGGTAACTTGACGTGTAATAAATGATGCTACCAATGGCCTGATTTTGTAAAGAGGGCAGGTTAGTTTCTGTTTAACAGAACATTTGAAGACTTGTTTTATGCAAACATTAATTATTGTAAACAAGATTAGAGTTGTCATCCTTACTTTGGCTTAACATTTTAAACAGGTAAAGATTTGGTATTTGATTAACCTTTGGAAAAGGAACGTAATGTACAGGCCCCGTTTTCATTGAGAAGTATGGTGCCTCTATTACGAAACACGACTTCATGCCGGTCCACAATATAAAAGCACAAAAAATAAAAAAAATAAAAAAAAATAAATAATAATAATAATAAATAAATAAATAAAATAAAATAAAAATTCACTCTACAGGCTTGCATGTACATAATCACAATAAGCTTAACCCTCTATTTGTCATCATTTATTTTACATTATTTTTTCTATAGTACTCATTATTAATTAAATAATATTACATGCAGATCAAAAACTTCCCTTTTTTTTAACCACACATTCTTCATCAATTACTATTTCATAATACATTTCTTCAAATTATCAAGGCTCAAACAAGGTTTAAGCAGGAACATAAAAGGCCATCATTTACCAAAAACATAATTCAAACATGTCATTTCTTAGTACAAAAAGATGATCAAAGCAGTCCCTTATAAGTTGCGATCAAAAGAGGCGGCTAGATTAGAACCATAATGCGTTAGGAATGAAAAGATTATTTGAAATAAAAGTGATGAAATAAAACTTACCTTGAAAACCCATTTTTTAGTACAAGGTTTCGAAAAACTTCAGCCTTGTTTCTTCAAGACTTTAACATGCTGTCCCATGCTAGGGACTCCAACCCGCAACTCTCGCAGGCAAACTGATAATGTATTTTAAGTGAGTGCACTAAATACTCGTTATAAATAGAAACTACACCCTCTTATAAAGTTGGGTAACAATAACGAAATACTTTTGCAATCTTATTTCCATAAATCAGATTCTGAAGCAGTATTACAGTTCAAGTGACTATCTAGTTTGCATAGAATATTTTGGAATTGTTCCGAGACTCAGAGCCTTCTATGGAATTTGTGAACTGTGCATCAGGTTTTCAACTTCCGACGTTCTTTGCCTCCATAATTAGTTTGTAGTAGTGTTTTGCAAATTGGTTAGCAAATCAATATTTTACATTGTTTGTTGAACTTGGTGTTTGTGAATATGATATGACACATCTCTAACTATGACTTGTTTCTTTAGTTGTGGCATTCATTTTTAATATCGTGTGTTATTATACTATTTCATTTTATTACCTTTATTAAATAATGTCCGTAATGAAGTAATTTCTTGGTTCAGTCTATTTTATCTAAATAGTTTTTACTATGATTCATATGCAGATAATGCAATTCATAGAGACATATATTATTCACCTAATAATGGTAATGACATAAACCTTTTATTTCGTCTCTTACTAGCTCTTCCGCTCTTAATGTTTGGAAGGTTTTCAACTATAGTTGGCAACCACATATACTTCTCATATTGGTCATATACTTCTCATATTGGTCTTTGTAACGCTTATGTGGCTGAAATTGGTAGTGACAATAAGATAAAAGATGTATTTTCGATATTTTTTAGTGTGGATGATTTAGTTTGACCCATTTGGTATGAACTAGACTTCAAGACATGCATATCCCATCTAGGCAATATGTCATATGCCGGAAAGGCACTAATTGCCCACATCAAAAAAACTTTCATTCGAAAATTCTTCTTTATGTATATGTTGTAAGTTTCTTCTTTGTATATATGTCGTGAGTTTCAACATCTTTACCCAAAATAGTTATACTTCATCCATTATGCGATTCAAATAAACACAAAGATTTAACCTGGACACTTCAATGGCGAGAAAAACATACTAAAAAATTGTAATCATATTACATGCACATACAAAGTGGGAGATCACCGTCTCACTGCATTCCTCACAATTTTTTTATAGGATCCACCGCAATCTGATCATAAATAAAGAATAATATCCCGTGTACATTTTTCTTTTATTGTTCGTACCATGGGTTGAATGATATGTCTACCTTCCAAATTTCAGACAATTGTGTTAACCTATGGTTGACTTCTCGTTTTCATTATCACAAACAAATTGCGTTTATTTCTAACAATTTGAATTCGAGTGTTGACAGAGATTATTGCACATCAATAAAATTGAAGACATAAAGTTTTTTGCAAGTAACGATCGACGTGAAAACAAAATTGAGGTTGTGAAAATTTCTATTGAAAAAATCTTTGAAAACTTTCAAAAAAAATGCTCAATGAGAATCGAGATAAAAGTTGAAGTATAGTCAAGCATGCATGTCAAGTCATTCAGGATGAAGCGCTTTCATTGAAGATATTAGAGATAGACTTTTTTTATTCATAATTGATTTAATACTTGGCAATGAATCGTGAAAAGCTCAAAATTGATTTTATGCACGAAAATAATCATGTTACAAAAATGTTTGCGTAAAGACTATTTTTCAAAAGTAAAAAAACTCAATCTTACGTTTGTACAGTGTCACTTACCTTGAAAAATCAAGTAAAAACGACCTTCAAAAGATTACATTCGTAAAAATCATAAAAGAAGGAAAATTCTGAAAATTTTGTCGTGGCAGACGTTCGGTAGGTCCAACGGTTAAATTTTTTAACCATTCTAAATTCTGACTCACAACGGCTACTACATTGCCCAGGTACTCTAGCGGACGTCCGATAGAAAGCGTCCGGTTGTATAAACTTTTTGACGATTTTTCAAATATAAATACCATCTCACTTTGTATTCATTTATATAATCCGAGAGCATTAAAGTAAGATCCTTTTGAGCTAAAATATTTAATCTCTACTCTTTATTTATTATTATCAATACAATTATTTTTTAAAAACTCTTCATTGATTTTTTTGGGGAAATCATTTCATTCATCAAGGTGTTTCAAAACCAGCACTTGAACTTTACTCATTGCTATTTATTAGAGTGTTTAGCTTGCTTTCTCTAGTTGTACAGAACTTTGAATATATCACTTATTATAAGAGAAATTTCAATTTGTAATCTTTTTATTTTTCAAACTCGAGGGTTGTGTTGAGGTCCCGTAAAACTCAACGTAATAAAAGGATCGTGCTCATTGTTTGTAAGTCACGGGAAGCATTATAGAAGATTGGATTGCACCATAAGACAATCAAATTTAGTGAAAAGGGCCTTACTCGTGCCAGACAACTTGGTAATGGGGGACGTAGATTATTGCATTGGATCGAACCTCAACAATCAAATCGTTTGCATTCTCACTCTTCTTTTTACTGTTTTATATTGTGCTCATTAATTTTTTTTATTTGCTATTTGTGTGTATCTATTTTATTGCTACATTTGCTAGTACATTATTTTTAGACTTGAATTATTTTACAAAAAGGACATAAAAACCAATTCACCCCATCTTGGTTAGCTATTCTTAGGCTTTCAGATTGTACAAGAGAGCTTTCTTTAGAAGTCTCCATTTCTTATCGACGATTAGTGGGATTGTCACTCTTTTTACTTTTCGGCCAATAGAGATTTAGGTGTAGCTCCCAACCTTAATTGTGTGCTTGCTCATATGGATTGTATTACAAGTATGTATCATCTGAACATATTAGATTGTCAAACTTTTATGTCTTTGTATTTCGAACAAATTTCATTCTCCCAAAGGCATGTTATCTTCATCAATTTCGGCATATTGATCCTCTTGGAGAGACTTCCTTTGTTTATCCTGTATTTGGCAGGTCGGTAATGTCAATATCAATCTCAATAGCAACGCATCCGCATCAACTTCATTTATACCTTATACTTGAAAATTTGGTAGTTTACGCAGCGCTGCTAAAGGCAGGTCATCTTCATCAAGTTCAATGAGTTTATGATATCCTTCCATTTTAAAGCATGATAAGATGGAGAAATCCTCCATGCTTGTTATCTTCATCAATTTTGAAATCTTTCATCTCATATTGTTGTTGTGCTTTTGCTTCTTTCCGTTTCCTACAATCAAAATAAACAAGTAAATCAGTTGAAAAATTATGAAAAATTTAAATCGGAGTTAGAATTAAAAACAAAACCTAAAGTAGATAAATTGGTCCCCAATAAAGACATTAAAAACTTGATTCTGTGATTCTCCAAGTTTACGGATCGTGACAAGTAATAATAATGGCAAGGGTGGAGGTAGTGGGGGGCAGAGATGGGCTATAGCCTAGCCCTACCCTCTACCCCATCTGGAAAATTAAGAATAAATTGTGTAATTTTGATCCAAATATTTGTACTAGCCCAGCTCTAATTTGAATTCCAACTCAAACCCATCTTTATAATTATTAAGTACTATTTTTATATTATTTTATTTTCAAATTAGGCATTTTATTTAATGCATGTTTTATTAAATTTACTTATAATAATTAAGTAAATTTTAGATAATTTGTAATGATCAGATTTAAAAATTAATTATTTTAATAATTAGAAACACTA